AAGTTAGCATTGATACATATTTTACATCTGCCATTGGTAGTCATAGTTACTGCATGTATTAGGATCTTGAAGCTGAGTCAAGGTGACCTTCATCAACAATAAGGATTTAATGAATAAAACCAGGACCTGGTTCTCTTTAAAAGATCAAAGGAGAACATCCGGGACTGACTGTGTCAAGGATAAGTTATTCGGCAGCTTGGCAAAGTGACTATTTGATTAACCAGCTTGGCACTGAAAGTAATTTTTAGGGTGTACTGAAGTGAACTGCCTTCATTATAATGGGTGGTATTCCTCAGGGTTTGGTATTGGGACTAGCACTGTTTCACATCTTTGTCAGTGACATGGACAGTACGGTTGAGTGCATTGTCAGCAAGTTTGCTGATGACACTAAGCTACGTGGAGGGGTAAACATGATGTAAGGAAGGGATGCCCTCCAGAGGGACCTTAGCAGCCTGGAGAGGTGGGCATGCGTGAACCTCGTAAGGTTCAACAAGGCCAAGTGCACAGTACTGCACCTGGGTCAGTGCAATCCTGAGCACAAATACAGACTAGGTGGTGAATGGACTGAGAGCAGCCCTGCAGAGAAGGGTTTGGGGGTCTTGACTGGAGAAAAGCTCAACATGACCTGGCAGTGTGCGCTCACAGCCCAGAAAGCCAACCGTGTCCTGGGCTGCATCAAAAGGAACATTACCAGCAGGTCAAGGAAGGTGATTGTCTGCCTCTGCTCTTTCTCGTGAGTCCTCACCTGGAGTACTCCATTCAGCTCTGGGGCCCCAAACACAAGAGGGACATGAACCTGCTTGAGAGAGTCCAGAGGAGGCCACAGAAATGATCGGAAGGCTGGAACACCTCTCCTATAAAAATAGGCTGTCAAAGTTTGGCTTGTTGAGCTTGAAGAAGAGAAGGCTTTAGGGAGACGTTCCAGCAGTCTTCCAGTACCTAAAAAGGGGGCTTACAAGAAAGCTAGAGAGGGACTTTTTACAAGGCCATATAGTGACAGGACAAAGGGGAACGGATTTAAGATGACAGAGGGGAGCTTTAGATAAGATACTGGGAAAAAAATTTTATTGTGAGGGTGGTGAGACACTGGAAGAGGTTGCCAGAATTGTGGATGCCCCATCCTTGGAAGTGTATAAGGCGAGTCTGGATGGGGCTTTGAGCAACCTGGTCTAGTGGAAGGTGTCCCTGCCCATGGCAGGGGGGTTGGAACTGGATGATCTTAAGGTCCTTTCCAACACAACCATTCTATGATACTATGATTCTATGATAATATTGTCATAGAATCAAAGAATGGTTTGGGTAGGAAGGGACCTTAAAGATCTAAAAAGACCTAAAGGTCTAAAGATTATTCCATGACAATATTAAAAATCACACCCACAGGTCAAAAAGACCCTTATGCAGATGAAGACCTCTTCTCTGAGCATGTGTATCTATATGAATGAATATCTAATCAAATGTTTATTAATAACCAATCAGTATGTAGTGGGACATGTACCAATCTATTATTGTTGTGCATAAAAGAGCACTGAAACTTGCTGTTCTTGTGCTTCATTTGTGGAAAAGTTCAACAAGCACCTCAGCCTGAATAAATACAATATTTCTCCTGGGTGTGTGGAACTGACTTATTGCATGCTGGGCATAAATCTGCTTTCTGGATCACAGATTTTGGCGACCCAGATAGGACAGCTATAACACTTTGCCCATATCGACATGCCAGTTCTTGGCAGGGAGACACTGCTCTTTGGACTCCATTGTGCATTGACCTTTTGACAGGGGACTCTGTGATTTCCAGCCAGAGTGGGCAAGTGACACAATGGTGCAATGCTTAAGAGACACTGTTTTGAATAAGGTTGTGCATGCACTTAAGGAGGATTGTTGATAAAATAGATAAAATTTATATATGCTTGACAGTGACATTTGGAGTATTTGAAATTGTGGATCAGAATGTTCTTTTTGGGTAAAAATGTGAAAACTCAGCCATCTAAAATGAATCCTTGTTCTTCTGGGTGTATTGTGAAACATTATGGAAAATATGGAGAAAATTCATTAACAAAGGGACAGCTAATTGAATATTGTAGTAAATGGTGACCACTATATAAGTTGGAAGATGGGGGAAAACAGCCTGAGAAAATGTTGTTAAAGTATAATAATATTTTACAACTAATGTTTCATCAAGGACAAGACAAATGGGATGAAGTACCTTATGTTTATTATTCTTTGCTTTAAGAAATTATCATGAAACCCAAGTAAAATGTAAACCTTTAGATTCTGATTCAAATGTAACGGTGATGGAAGATAGGGATACAGATTCATGTTGTTGCTCAGCATGTAGCGTTGGAATGTTGGTAGCTCCAGATAGTGGAAATAGTCATAGAAATAATGAGAGAGTGATAATTTTAGTCTTGTAACAGGGAAAAACCAAGCACAACAAAATTCTGTAGTACTGGATCCTCTTCGTCAGGCTGCAGGCCCAGGAGGAAAGCCTGTATTTGTTTAAGCGCCCTTTACTAATTCTGACTTAATGAATTGGAAAGAGTCAGATGGATCATATAGAGAAAATGTACCACTCTTTTAAGATGATAATTGAAAATCATAACCCCAATTACCAGGATATACAGATTTTATTAAATAATTTGTTGTTGATGAGAGGAAGCAAAGGAAAAACAAATGGTAATGGAAAAAGCTAAAATGGAGAATAAGAGATTAAATGTAACAGATACAGATAATTTTATGCCAACTCAGGAACACAACTGGGAGAAGGTTAATGACAAAGTGGTATTAACAACTGATATTGTATGAAATAAAAAAAACGAAATAACTCGGCCAAAGAATCTTGCTAAACTAACTCAAATAATTCAGGGACAACCAAAAAACCCCTATGCCTTCTATGAAAGGTTATGTGAGGCAGCTAGAAAATAGACTGATCTGGACCCAGGAAATTAAGGACATAAGGCAGTATTTACCACCTTGTTTGTTGGACAGTCAGCCCCTTATATTAGGTGAAAGTTACAGAAAGTATATGGGGTCATAGGGATGACCATATCATAGTTAATTGAGATTGCATATAAAATTTATAACAAACTAGAAGAAGAAGGGGAAAAGGCAATAGAGAAAGACAGAACAACTGACAAAAACCAAAAAAAGCTGCAATCTTAGCAGCTGCATTTGCCCAGTCCCACATGTCATCTTGAGGTAGGGGATTTCCTAGGGAGTGTGGAATAAGAGGTAGGAGAATAGGATGTGGAAATATGATAAGACCCCTAGGGATCAATCAATGTGCCTTTTGCAAAAAGCAAGGACACTGGAAAAATGGATGTCCAAAAAACAGAAGTATCAGCCAGCCTCAGAAAATACCTCCTGAAACTGATTTACTTATGATGGGAACTGGATCTCAATGACAGGCAGGAGGGGAGCCAGAAAAAGTTTAGAGCCAATAGTGAATCATTTCCTTAAATACGGACTTTTGAAAGAATGTCAATCTGAATGTCATACTCCTATTCTTCAAGTGAAATGTCAGACACAGCTATATTAGATCCTGGAGTTGGAGTGGCTACAAATTATCATATGATAAGAAAAATTACTTATGCCCTAGTGAAAGATATAAATTATACTTTGCAGTCACTTACAGCTATTGGAACCGAAATAACGCAGATAAGACAAGCTGCTCTTGAAAACAGAGCTGCAATTGATTACTTACTCCTTCAAGATACTCATGGCTGTGAAGAATTTAAAGGGATGTGTTGCTTCAATCTAACAAATAATTCACAACTGATAGAGGGAAAAATAGAACAATCGAAGGAACTAGCATCTGAAATTAAAGAACAAGAAGGATTAGACGTTTCTTGGTTACTCTTGTGGCTTCCCAATCTTAATTGGCTAAAGCAGCTTTTTCTGTTTGGATTGTTCATTACAGTCCTAATCATTATAACCTCTACATACTACAGTGCCTGCCTCTTTGTAGACCAAATACCTAGAAAGGAGTGGTATTAGACTTATGATGTGGAAGTTGTCAAGAAGACACAAAGGTGGGAATTGATGTATTTTACATCTGCTGTTGGTAGTCATAGTTACTGTATGTATTAGGATCTTGAAGCTGGGTCAAGATGACCTTCGTTAACAATGAGGAATTAATGAGTAAAACCAGGACCTGGTTCTATTTAAAAGATCAAAGGAGAACATCCAGGACTGATTGTGTCAAGGATAAGTTATTTGACAGCTTGGCAAAGTGTCTATTTGATTAACCAGCTTTGCAATTAAAATAATTTTTAAGGTATACTGAAGTGAACTGCCTTCATTATAATATTAAAAATCACACCCACAGGTCAAAAAGACCCTTACACAGGTGAAGACCCATCCTCTGAGCATGCATAGCTATATGAATGAATATGTAACTGTATGTTAATTAATAACCAATCAGTATGTAGTGGGATGTGTAGTAATCCATTATGTTTGCATATAAAAGAGCATTGAAACTTGCTGTTGGTGTGCTTGATTTGTGGAAAAGTCCACCAAGCACCTCAGCCTGAGTAAACGCAACATCTCTCCTGAGCATGTGGTGGGCACAAATGTGCTTTTCTGACAACATTATCAATGGAGACAGTTGTCCCTAACCTGGCCTAAACACATGCACACACAAGCTAACAACAGCCATTGACATGTCCTTCTGTAAGGTGATTCTAACCTAAGGGATGTAGCACCAGCACTTCAAACTTTGCAACAGAGCAGGAAAAAACGCAGTAGGATTGTTTTAAAACAACAGTGATGAATAAAAAAGGCTGTTCTCTGCTATTAGAGCACGGGATAACTGAACATCAATTCCAGTCTAAAGTTTGTCGAATGATGAAGCACAGATAGTACATTTAGAGTTTTCAGTGTGACTTCTGACCCAGACTTCCCTGAGGACACTGGGAATCCCTCTGGGTTTGATAAGCCACAGCAGGGACTCTTTCCTCAAGGACGGGTAAACACATAGTCAGGTTGTAAAGGAGAATTGAGTTTACCCAAGGACTTGTTTTCTCCGATTAATCCTACCCTATCAGCTTGAACACATTCGTGAAGATCCCCTGGAGGTCCTGTAGTTTTCCTTCTTTGGCTTGCTCGCAGGGTTTGTTTTAGTGAGTTCCCTGTCCACAAAGACGGTTGCTTGAAAACCTGGTTCAGTTCACTCTGTAGCACAGTAGATCTGGTTTGTTTACCAGGAAGCCTCAGTGTTATGACCTGAGGAATGCAGGGGACACAGACTTTACTTGTAGAAGGTATTTTAAAAAATTGGCATTGTTGCCACAAATAATGTCAAGATGGAAAATCCTGATTCGTATATCAGGAAACAAAGGTGAGTATGAGTTTGTTGGCCAGAGACAATGACTTTATCTGTGCTGTGGAGCAAGCTCACATGCATCCTGATCTTGGTTACCATAATGATGGTAAACATAATATAGTCCTATGCTGTGACAAAATTAATAGATTTTTCCATGGGCCTGGTCCAAAAAGCAATTGGAAACCCCAGGGAAAAAACATGCCTCCCACAAAAATACCCCAACAACAAAAAACCCCAAGTAAACATAAAAAAAGCCCCACAAACAGCTAAATGAAAAAAAAAACCCTGAAACCAAGCCTCCTTCAAACCTCCACAAAAAACCTCCCAACAAACCCCAACCAAAACTAAACAACAAAAGGTGCTTTTCTGTGCTTGCATACTGAAGGAGATGAATATCAGTTTTGCTTTCAAACACAAGTATCGGGATGAACCCAGACACATCCAGCACATGACTACACGTTTGATGTGTACATTTCTCCTTTTTCCACTCTCACCAAAAAGTTCATCAAAGCAGTGGAGATGTTTGATATTCTTGGTGAGACGAGGTCAGTGCCCCTCTCTTGGAGCTGAATCATGTGAAGTGAAAGCTGAAAGGGGACAGAGGGCATGGGAAAGAATAGGTACTATTTTTAGCACAAGGACATTCTTCAGTAGCCCTGGCATCACTGGATATCTGCAAGGAGAAGTCTCTGTTAGTGACAGGATTTACAAAATAATATACAGAGGAGATATGGAGACCTGCAAATAGCAGCCTCCCTTACAGTCATGTCATGACACTGACATCTGTTTACATTTGGATTTTATCGTACTTGTGTACCGATATTTCAGACTTACTATTTTTTCCTTTGGGTCCTTCAGGGGGTAGCACAGAATGCGACTTCTCTTGCGTCTTTTGCCCTTTACACTTGTTTTGAGTGACCATCTGACTGCCTTCATTGTGCTTCTGTTCTTTTCAGAGCACTATTGATTATATACTGCACTTCGTGGGAATCTGGCATAAAAGGACAGGTTTATAAGACATCACAGGGTCCAGGTATCTATTTTTATCAACCTGAGCAATTGTTGCTTAGACAAAGAGACCCCCTACTTCCTGGGCCATGTGTGGCTGACCTCGGTTAGTCCGAACTCGATTGACCCCAGTGCAGCTTAAGCGATGTGACAGCCGAGTCAGCCCCTTTAATTCCAGTCTTTGTGAGGCTCGTGATAATCATGCACTTGCTCTGTCAGAGGAGCCAGCAAAGAGCGATTCTGTCTGTACTTGCTCCCTGCAGCAGCCCTTTTTCTTGCCTTCTCTGTTCCACCAGATTCCTTTCATTTTGTTGGTTCTATTCAGGAACAAAGAGGACTTTGTTGAATTGCCTTTGTGGTTTATTTTCCTGAGCCTTGGAAGATAGCAGACTTTTGCCACTGTTTTATCCAACCCGTTATCACACACACAATACTCTGAATGCTTGATGGAGGCTAGTGTGTGTTAGCCTAACTCTTTGCTCTTTTTTTTTTTTCCAGGTTGAAAGCCAGGGCTGACTTCTGGTTGCCAAGTTAGGAATAATTGCTGGAATAAAAATTCAGGGAGGAGTCTGTCCATGCAGCTGCCATAAAGGCTTGAGTCAGAGGAGCTACAGTCGTCAGTAGATTTCATCTTGTTTTTCGTATTACCTGGTCTTACCAGGTCCCAGTGTCTTCACAGCCATGTGTTTGTTTACAAATGTCGAATATATTGTCATCAAACAAGCTCTGGGCACATGTTCCAAAAGGGGTAAAAATGCATTGACTGGCCACTAGAACTGTTAATGCTTATCAGCTTCTATCTGAGCCTGTAAAAGTGTTTTGACATGATAAACTGCTACAGTCTTCACAGATGTGGAAAGGCAGTTGCAGAAGAGTTAGATGAGGGACTCTGGTTTATAGACTTTGCCATGAAAGACTCCTTCAAATCTCAGAACAACTTAGTGGTGTGGAGAAGACTAAAAAGAGCAGCTAACTCTAATCCTTTGCCCTAACCACTGTCCCAGCTGCTTTTCACATGACCTGGCACTCTACCTATTCCCAGCACAAAGCTCCCATCATTTTTTTTTTTTTTTATTTAATGCATTAAAAAATCTTTTTTAAATAATGGAAAATGTAGCCATTACTCAAGGCTGCCCTTGAGAGATAGCTTTATCTATTTAGTCTATTGCCAGAGGGGCACAGTGTGGTCCTGGAGAGTCTCTGGACAAGGTATTAACAGAAAGTTGCTTCATCAAAGCTCTTCCCATGAGAGACGAGATCTATAATCTTTGTTTTTAGTGAACAGACTAACATCTCCGAAGGCATAGTAGGCGTCAAAATACAGTGCTTCTGAGCTCTGTATGCAAAAGGTCATGCAGTGTTTAATCCTGGGGGTCACCTCATGGTCCTCGAGGGAATTTCATCAAGGATGTAGCTAGTCTGTATTTTGCAATAATCTGTAGGAAATAAGCCTGGCATTTCAGAGATAAAATTTGAGAGCAGTACCATTTCAGTCACCCAATGTGCTTTGTAGATGGGGTTTCTATGACTGTTTATTTCTAAAAAGGTCTCATGTTCAAAACGGAAACTTTCAGCCCTTACTCAGGCAAAAAATTACACAGAAACCAGTAGGAATACTGCCTAGAGCAGAGTGAAATAAAAGCTGGAGGATCTGGTACTGTGTTATTTGGCTCATGCTGCAAAATTTCAGCAAATTTGTCTCTAGCAAGCAATGTGAGCAGTTTCGACAGCTTTTATTATGTTGAATTACAATGACAAATAAGGGCATTGATTTGTAGAATGTTTGAAAGTGTGATAAACACAGTCCTAATGAGAAAGATGTTTCTTTTTATTTGACAGAAACACCACTGTTTTTCCTTGTGCATAATCTAGGTGCACCAACAAAAATAAAAGGCCTGGCTATTTGAGGCAAAATTCCTGAAATATTATTCTTTAAATCTCTAAGCTTTCACTTATTACTTTTTATTCCCAACAGTACTTGATGGTTTTATTGTCCACAGAAACTGGAACAGTAATAAAAGAAAATAAAAACATTAGTGAAAACATAGAGTAACTCAGTGTTTTCTTATGAATTCAAGTATGAATTTAAAGTCAAACATGCTTTTCGACATTAAGAATCCTTTTGTCTAGAGGATAAATGGTGCTCACAGTAAGGAGTTAGCTCTCATATCCCTGTGCAGTTATAGTCCTTGGGTGGTTTAAACAGTTTCACCTACTATGGTGTTTTTTGAACTTTGAAGCCTACGGAGAGTAACTTGTCCTGTAGAAGAAAATGAATTTACATCCACATGCACATAACAGTTGTAGCAGGCTGTTTGGAGAACAGTTTGGAAGGCAACTAGTATATAATGGGTGCTGCCATAAATAGGAACAATAGCAAGGTAATTTTGCTTACCCACCAGTAACATTTGCAAGTGAAGGCATTTTGCCACAGCTGTTAGAGATTCAATCACCCCTAACCAGATGTTTAGTCCAGGATGTTGACATTTTTCGTGTGGATTTCACTGAAAACTGTTTAGTGCTTCTGTCTGTCATATTTATAAACCTGCATCTATATCTAATCTAATACCTTTAAATACGAAGAGTTGCACTAAGCTTGTTCAGGTTCATTCTGTTATGCCAGTTCTCACACACAGACCCATATATTTCATCACCTGCTTTACTTCAGATACGACATTAAAATGGAACAGGGAGGTTATTGCTATTCACACAAGTGTAGTCATGTGTGTCCAAGCCCTTCCAACAGGTGCGCATTCATATGCATGCCCTTCACATACACATGCATGTCCCTGCATGTATGCGTGCTCCTTTGGTGTCGTGAATCTTGCTTTTTTCTAATTTTCAGAGGAATTTTCAGGAGACACAGCTCAGCTATGTCTCTGCTGGCTAAGCCTTTTCACCTACTTCTTATTTACATTTCACTTGCCCATTATCTCTCTGTCCTTCCTGCATGCCTGCCTCCAACACTTTTGCAACCTGCTGAGATCAAGCCCCTGAGCCGCCCTGGGCTGGAGTGCTTGTCCTCATGCATCCTGACAGCATTGCCTGTTCTCAGCAAATTCATCAGTCTGGGAACTCTCTCTGTACATGGATATAGTGGGGTGCAGGACCAGATGAGAGGAAGCTTCCAAGAAAGCCACAGAAGCAGAACACATATGGAAATGAAGCAAGATATGACAAATATATATTCCTGGTTTAGGTGGTTGCATATGAAACAGCTGCCGCTGGGGCAGCCTTAGCTCATCCAAACAGGGCTGAGATGCACAACTAAAGGAATTTTTCATGTGTTGCCACATCCTCAAGGCTTGTTTTTCAGAACACAGAAATGATTTTATTATCTTGGAAGCCACCTCCTGCACATTTACAACTTTTGAATCAGCCTTTCTTTGATTCAGCAGAATTAGGGATAGGGAAATCCTATTAGGTCCTATTATCATTTGAGCTGTATTGTTCTATATGTTAATTTGCCAAACACTCTATTCATGTTTAAATAACTCAGTGCAATAACCATGTAATTATTGTCTATGCCTCTTAATACATATTCATATGTATGAAAAAAGATTTTTAATATTTCTCTTAGAGTTCACCTTCCTGACTATTTTTAACCCTCTCAGTGACTCCTTCGCTTCAAGATCATGTTAACTTAATTTTGTAGATAAGGCAGTGGAGAGAGGGAGAATCTACACTGACTGTTTATGCCCTACTTCCTTTTACCACATTGCTTTTAGATTGCTTTTAAATCAATTGATTCCCTTAAAAACAGAATCCAAGAGGAGGCTTGTCTCTTGGTACCTCTCCAGAAGCAGAATGAGGAAAGAAATGCCATGTCTGACTCCTTGCACCTCACATACACTATCCCCAGTGGCTGCTCTAAGTGATGTTTGAGAGAGTACATGCCCTCCCATGAGCTCCAGCCCTTGAAGTGGCAGGAGAGGCGGGAATCAGCTAGCATGGCAGGCAGAGATGGAGTTTATTTTTCTGTGATGGTGTTATTCCAATGCATCTACACTCATGCCCTCTCCCTGCTCAGCAGTCTGGCCTCTCGGCTCATACCCTCACAGACACAGCTCACCTTCCCCTCTCTCCTCCTGGAGATATCCCTATCCAGGCACACCCTGTCAGGCTCCTTACTCCATGGCCAGGGTTTCTGCAGAGCTGTGTGCTCTGGCATTGCACGAGGTAGCTCTATGATGTCAGGACTGCAGGCAGCACTGCTGTATTCCAGGGCAATGAAGCTTCACCCTCCCTCTGAGGGAGGGTTTCTGCCCTGGCCACCCTCATGATAGGCCTGGCATGCAGAGGTGTGTGCCTCAAAGGAGCCTTCTCATCAGGATGTTTGTCTTGTGTAGGAAAGACACCCGAGGCCAGTGAAGATGCTGGACTGATGCCAGGAGATAACTGGATGGAGACATTTTTCTCCTGGGAGAGAAAGAAAACGCTGCACTGAAAGCTAAAAGGAAGTTCCCAGGAGGACTGACAGTCCTCATTGACAATATGGTGAGACCTCCCCTTCATGATGTTACTAGTGTCCTCAGGGCTCCAGACAGTGAGGCCCTTCCCCAGGTCCTGCCTCAGCTTGGAAAGAAGGAAGATGAAGGCTGACTGTCCAGACCTCATCAGGACACAGCTGTGGAGGAGCTGTGGAGCAAGTTTGCGCTGACTTTT